CCCCCACCTCTCTCTCTCTCTCTCTGTTTTGGATCTATCAAGGTGCTGTTCTACGAAAATGTCGCATGGAGATCGATTGGCGACAAGATCGAGTCCCGGTTTTGTGGCGTGGCTACTGAGTTCGATGACGAAGTGCCTTAGCTCCTTCTCTCAAATCTCTCTTATAGTGGATTTGATTTCGTCGTCGCTCCTCTGGTAAGCATTCTTCCATTTCTCTTTTCGACATTTACTGCTGCAAATGATGTTTAGACCTCAACTGACTGAGAAATGTCGTTCGATGAGTGTTATTTTCTTATGCGTTTGCACGTAGTTCGCATTTTTATCTCCGTATCCAAGAATAGCGTTCTTTGTCTGTTTGTTTGAAAGTGAACGGAGTACGATAGTTAGATTTTTATTTCGTTGTTGTTTTGCACTGTTTCTTGTTATTACGGTGGCTAATTAGCCAGTCACACACCGGCTATGTAGCTGTATGTTCTGTGTGAATGGTCAGTAAGCTCACCTAAATCAACGTCGTTTGACAGCCGATCTAGTGAAGGAAGATCGTGTAGCTTCACTTCAAGGCTGTCAAAGTACATTTCTCAAACCATGTCGAAGAGTACGGCTGGATGTACAGTAATAATCTGGTTAAAAAATATAAGAACGATAAGAATATTTGATATTTCATTAGAGGATCGCTAATTATTTTCGTATTTGATGCCATTTCCTTGATTCTTATATTCGTTTACTTCTATTTAATGGAATGACTCGGCTGGTTCAAGTTTGAAACCTTTATGAAATTTCTGGAGCAATAACATTTGTCATCTGCATGCTTATAAGCCATGCAACACCTGAGTTTGTAGATATTTAGATTTTACTGTACTGTTAGATCTATTTGAAAATGATCCATCCATCAATATAGTTTGTTTGATTCTCCATATTTGCAGAGTACTAATGGTGGCCAATTAGCTAGTCACACATCAGCTCATAGCTGTATTTTTTTTGTGTGTGAATGGTCAGTAAGCTCACCGAAAACAATATTTATTAATTGTCCGTGCAGTGAATATGGACCATGTAATCTTCACACTTGGACTGTTAAATACATTTTGATGAGTGGATATTAACAAATCGTTGGGATGACTGGTTACTCTTAACTTATAGATATGTATTTGATCAACATTTGTGAGGATATTTTGAATTTAGAACTTCCTAAAACTGTTATTTGGTAAATATTGCTTCAAATGGATCCATCCTATCGGCCAAGCTTGATACAAAAAGAGAACGGTGGTTCCGGTGTTCTTCCATTTGCTGGATCACGTTGTTGGTAGTCTTTTGAAAACTTATTATTCGATTGCTTGACTGCTTTCTTGTTTATTACACTTATTGTAGCATGCAGTGAGTATATTTTGTAATGTTTTATTTATTGTTAGTATTTTTTATGTCCCAGGTAAAATTAGTTCTTGAATTGACTTAGATTCTGAAGATGAGTATTTGGTAGTCTTATGAAAACATATTATTCTAGTTTTGACAGTGCAATTCCTTTTTTTACTGATAAGTTAGCCCCAAAATGAATTTATACTTTTGTTTCATCTTTCAACTATACGCCTAGCGGTATCTTCATCATCTCGGTCTCCATTCTTTGTTAACTCTCTCAACTTTGAAAGCATTTAATGGTTTTTTAGCTGTCTAGTTTCTCTCCATCTTAACAGTTAAGAGCTGATTTACTGCAGGCATGTCTTCTTCCAGCATCTAAGGGAACATCATATGCTATTTATGCTAGACGTGTTCGGGCCTTAATAATATGCAGGTGCCACTCTTGTTTATCATTAAATGATCAGTACTTTTCTTAATTCTGTATGTTTTTTTTTTTTTACCATTGTATTAGAACTCTTCTAATTGATATTTTTCTGAAGTTGTGGCTCAGGATACCTCTAGTGAAAGTTGATGATGATTCTACAAATGTGAAGTCTGATCACTTGGTGAGTGTAAGCATCTTTGAATTTTCCTTTCATCTCTCTCTTGATGCCATTTGAATTCGTACAACATTAGAGTTTCCTTTCATCTCTCTCTTTGATTTATTATGATGTTCATGTAAACACTGCTAATACCATCCATTTGCTGCACAGGTTGATTCTTGGGATTTGTGGAACACATTTCGTCTGGCTTTGCGAGCACCACTATCAGTTATCAATTGTACTTGACATTTTGTATGTTCTCATACCTGAGTTGAGTTAGTTACTATCTATCTTATATCTTATGATGTTGAAATTGGTATTTTCTGTTCATTAGGAGTACGTTGCCTTCACCAAATGCGCGCTTGGACGATGGATTGAGGAGTCTGTCAAAGCGGCCATATTTAGTACCCCCATGTAATTATATTGGTCATTTTCTCAAGATCAAACAGATATCTGAAGTTGATTACTGGATTTTGATAAGGCACTTCTTGGACTGTCGTCGAAGCGGCACATGAAGTTGATTACCGGATTTTTCAACCATCATTCCATTCAGGTATCTGATTTCATTCCATTTAATTTGTTTCCAATTTATAGCAGTTTACAAGAACAATATAGCATTTTACACTCGTTTGCAACAATTGCGTAATGAGGAATAATTAGTTTTTGATTATCCATTGCTGGCTGCATATAGTCTATCAACTAACATTGATCATCTGTGTTCCCTTCAGGTAGTTTTATCTGGGAAACCATTTCCCAACGTTTCAAGGGGATGTTGTGCAGATTCGCTTACTGACTGGCCTGTAAAGAGCAGAAAAGAATCTTTAAGAGTAGATTTCTCATGAATATAATTTCATATTGAATCTTTAGGAGTAGATTTCTCATTAATATAATTCCATATTAGTACTCTATTTGTGGCAACTCTTCCTCATACTTTCTTTCCCTTCCTCATTTTGTGATAAAATATTTTCGTTTTTAAAAAATCAATGACTTAGATGTTTAAAACTTTTTATAACCAAAAAAATGAACTATAATGTAGACCATAATTTTTATATTTTATCTGGTTCGATGACAACGTTTTCTATCCTGTGATTAAAATAAAATTAAGGCACTGAAATAATTATTACTATACAAACTTTAAAGTTAGGGACAGATATAAGTGGCGAAAAAATCTACTTTTGGGAAACTAAAGCGTAAAATGAAATTTTAATTGCTTCATTTTTAATCTCTTGTTTTTTGTTTTTTGAACTTTCTTTTTAGTGTGATTTTCAATTTTCAATGTTTGAATTCTTAAGATAAATTTTAAAAACAAGCTTAAATGGTGTTTATATAAGCTTAGTTTTAAAAAATCAAGCGCAATTTTTAAAGATAGAAAACAAAATCCAGTTTTTTGAAAAAGAAAAGAAAAAAAAATCCAGTTAATCTTAAAAAATGAAATGGACTTGATTCTTCTTAGCATGTTTAAAAAATAAACAAATTTCAAACAAACTGATAATCGAAAAAAAAAAAATGAAATTAGAAAGTGAATATAAACGTAGAGAGAGAAGAGCCGTTCATGAAAAGGAAATAGATGTGACTGGTACTAACCTTGATGTGCACCCTACCAGATGGCCATAATAATGAAGTCCGCACACTCACTGGTGTCCTATCAGAAGACAGCATTATTCTTCCGAATTACCTTAAGCTTAGCATTCCTACAGCGCCGATTCAACCTCTCTTCTTCTATAGATCAGTCATCTCCTTCGGTTTTCGGGATTATGATATCCAGAAATGTTTGCTTCACAACCCTACCCTCCAAACTGTGGAAAGAAATGATATGTATACACAGGGCCGCGTCTTCTAATACCTTCAGTCAATCATCAACAGCAATCCTCAGAGCTTGGAATATCCTTCTATTTCCATTAAATTTTACACCACATATTCATACCAAAGTAAGAAAATGATCTTTTAACTTATTTCAAGCAAGTCCTTATGTAATTTATTGACACGTTAGCCTTCAATTGAACAAAGATGAAATGATATGAGATTACAAAGGTCGCGGGGTGAAAAGAAAAGGACCTCAAATTCATAAAGACACAATCATGATTGATATGACAAGGAACAATAATAAACAAAGACCGATGTGGCTCAGACGCAAAAAAAGAAGAAGAAACAAAATCAATGAAGGCATGACTCAAAGAACGAGCAGTGCTTACCTTTTCAGCCCAAAGTGGATTTTCGGATAAGAAGATCAACTAATTCACTGGAGAAATGCAGTCCACCCCCCTGTGATCGAGCTTTTACGATCTTATTCTGGAGTGAATACCAGTTACTTTATTCTCCATAAACCCGCAAGATATACCCCACTTCTATTTCCGGCCACCTGTTAAGAATGTCCTCTGCTTTTAGACTTGCCTGGCATAATCCTGTTTCAATCAGCAGGGAAGCGACATAAATAATTAAGTCGTTAATTTCTACAGAAGACCATGAACGAGCCGCATTTTTCAACTGCCCGAAGAAAATTCAATAATAAACGCTACATGTACACCCCACCCCCCCAAATGCCTTTTCCCCCCTCCTTTTTGAGAATGGGTGGTGGCCTTGTGGGATTGGGAAGGACTGTACCGTTACATCCATCCATAAAGAGAACAAAGGACCAGTTAGAAAGAAAATCAGTAATGCGGTCCAATAAACAGTTACAGAAATAATCATCGGTAACTCAATATACCAAAGCAATAAGCGTGTAACAGTAAAAGCACTTCTAATTCAGCATGCGCAGAATGAAATAAAATAAGCGCACGCGTACAAACAAGCAACTGACTATTATACGTCTCACGCACACCCAAACATGACACTGACAACATAAGGTATCATCGTTTTACGTTTTTGTAAGAAAATTTGCCCGCATGGATGAATCAGTTTAACTACAAAGGAAAAACGTAAAGAATAGCTTATAGTTGCTTCGGTAAGTAACAGTATATCAACCATAAACAATGGAATAGCTAGACACGGAACTCATACATTATCTACTAATTTATTAAACCAGTTTGTACCTGAGGATCCATTCGCATATCAAGAGGTTCATCACCAATGACACTAATTCCCCGTCCACCGAAGCAGCCTGGAAAATTGCCAAATTTCAGGCTGTTAAAAGATTACATTCTATGCGAGAAATTAAGTCTCATAAACTCTATGGGATGAATCAATGAGGTATCATGGAAAGATAGCTTTGTTAACTGTTATCATGATTTTCCCTGTAAAGAAAATGGACCGTACTACTCATACATTGGATCCCAACTGTAATATTAAATAACAGTAACTTGGCATTCTACAATTATTTCTATATATTTTATGTTGTTCACTCTGTTTTTGCCTTGTATTTCCATTAGCACCTTACATGTACTAGCATACCGGTTTACTCTCTCCACTATTTTAATAGAACTGTACCTTGAACCTCATCACAGACTGAGCTAAATATTTAAAAATCTGTGCATTCTCTTTGATTTACCTGCATGGATGACATTCCCAAATACATCAAAATTCCGTCAACTCCAGGATCTAAAGGTTTCTCGTCTGAGTCAGCCAGTAGCGATTTCATGTATTTAAAGTTCTTCAGAACTATGAATGCATTCAAATCAGAATCCTCGCTGAAGAAAGCACTAATCCGATCTTCGGCCTTATGAAGTGCAATTGGACGACTTCCATTCTCAAGTAAAATTTCAACTCTGGATGTGCTAGAATTATCTGTTTTCCAGGACACGAAATCAGAATTGAACATCATGAAAAAGAAAAATCATCTCGGACAGAAAATGCTAAGGGAGCGAATACAGCCACAGAAAAGAGCAGTTATCAAAGTGCGTTGTGTCAAAAGCCGCACTCATTCCAAATTCTCATGCAACAACATCAAAGGAACGACACAGGATGAGAGACTGCAAGTTAATCCAGAATTTCGCAGGCGAAACAGTAGTAAAGAAAGAAGCACGTAGATACGATCGATCGCTACTATGGCCAAATGTAGCTCCACATAGAACACAATGCAGAATTCAATATACAAATCAGCGCACATTATACTGCTCATTGATTGTAAATTTTGATAGGAATTTGGATGAGCATCTAATCCGGCTGCAGATATACACGAATAATAATATATTTCAGAAAATTTGACGAGAAGGCACGGAACTACTCGAGAAATACAATCATAAAACGCATTCCAATAATAATTGTTAACCAAAAATGCACCGAATCAATCATTAACGACGAAAGGACAAGAAGGCAAACATGTTAAGACAGAGACTAACAGCTAAGGAATGTTCACCTGCACCGACGGTGCAATCTACAAAGGAGCATAGCGGCCTTCCGGAAGAAGCAGAGAATACGTCCAATACTTCCGAAAGCGTCACCGGGATGTGAGCAGCAGTGTCGCCGAACTGGACAGCGATCTCATCAAACTCCTTGGTGGAGCGAGTCCTTTTCTCCTTCACCAAAGCTAAGTTCGAAGATAAAAGAAGAAGACTCCGATGATTTCGAAACAGAGGTATTCGCCTTAAGATCCTTGGATTTCTTCTGCTTCTCCTTCTTTACCTTACTTGAAATCAGTAGCGGTAGAAATGGAACAGCACCGGAAGATTCTCGGCAGTGAAGCAGTAGAGATGAAGACCAAATGCTGTAAACAGAGAAAAAGAAAACAACGAGAGCTTCGCCATTGATGATCTAAAAGCCATTTCCAACAGCTCCGATAAGATCAGAAGATCAGAAAATGAGATTGTTAGAGCCATGAAGTGGTGAAATCCGGAAGTTCAAAGGGAGAGTTCGCCATGGTCAGAAAATGGAGGGAAATGGAGAGATTCAAACTTTTGAGCCCTAATTGCCCAATTGGTCTGTCTTGTCCTCGTTTTATACCCGCCAAAATAAAATAAAATAAATAATAGAAATAAAAAATAAAAAAAATGAATTGACCTTTTTCTCCTTCCTTAGAGGATAGAGTTTAAGATGTACTTACCTTACACTTGGAGGATAACTTTGTCATAAAGTGGGGGAAAGACAAGGGATATTTTGGTATTTTCACAAATATTTTTAGATTGAAGTGCTTAATTTCGATTTTTTTAATAAAACACTTAAATCAAATTTAAAAAAATGAAAATTGATTTTTGAATGTTTATTTGTGAATTCTCTAAAATATTAATATTATATATAAAATTTTCTAAAAAAGTAATTTTGAAAAATAAAAAAAATATTATAAATAAAAGGCAATTAAACAAATAATAATAATAAATGACTCAGGATTTTCATTCATCCTACATTCCCTTTTATTTAATAAATACAACCTACATAATAATTAATTATATTCATTAACTTTCATTGATTGGTTAGATTTAATTAATTAATTAATTAATCAACATGAGTAAGAGTTTCCAAATAAAGCAATTATTGTGTTATGTTCAAAATCATAGCATTTTATATTAATACTTCTATCATTATTCATTTTTTAACTAATCAAACTAACTAAACTAATCATATTTAATTTCATAAAATTGATCGACTTTGACGTTTTCAATGATTTGAATAATATAATATTAAAATTTTTAACTTAAATTAAAACCGATAAACAAATAATATACACATTTTTGTACTGGTTATACAAGAGGAGATTTCGAACCTCTAACCTAATGGTTAATAACATGAACAACATGGAGAGAGAATTTCGAACCTCGGACCGATTTCGAAGGGGACTTTGAGCCTCTGATCTTGTAACGACCTAGATCCACCGCTATCAGAGCTAGACACCGGACGATGTGTCAGCCTTCTCGCTGTTTCTTGAAGGGGGTAGACATGAGACGGTGTGCCAGTAAGAACGCTGGCCCCACAGGGAGGTGGATTTAGGGGCGGTCCCACATCGATTGGAGGACGGAAAGAGTGTCAACGAGGACGCTAGGCCTCGAAGGGGGTGGATTGTGATGTTTCACATTGGTTGAGGAGGAGAACAAACCACCATTTATAAGAGTGTGGAGACACGTTTTAAAGCCTTGAGGGGAAGCCCGAAAGGGAAAGCTTAAAAAGGACAATATCTGCCAGCAAGATTTGGGCCGTTACAAACCCAATGGTTAATAATATGCGTTTCAATGGTCCAAACTAACCCACACCAAAATCAAGTTCAAGATTGAAGAGCACAACTAATGAACTTAGAAGCTCAAAGATTAGGTGTTAATGAACTGTATTCCAATGGTTTAGAACATGGAGGAGAAAAAAAGTAGCATTGAAAGAGGCCATGGGGAGGTAGTTTGTGTGTGAAAGATATTAATTAAGCTATGGAAGAAAAATGGAGAGGGAGACATGGCGGCTTTGATGGGTTTGTTTGACCTCATCAACTCCCCAAATTCTATTAAAAATCTCAATGCCTTCCTCTTCTTCTCCCTCAATTGTCAAAATCTCCTTCCTCATCAAACAGGGAACCAGAAGAAGAGCAAGAAACTGGAAAGAGAGAGAGAGAGGCAGAGAGAGAGGCAGAGAGAGAGGCGGAGAGAGAGGAAGAGGGCGAAAAAGGCATACCTTAAGCAGCAACTGTAGTTCAGAAATTGCTTTTTTCTGATCTTTTGGTGTTACTTTTTTCACAGGGTTTTGACTGTCCACTTTATTCCTTTTCATCATAATCTCATCTCTTTTTCTTCTTTCTTCAATTATTCCAATTACATCACAAAAACACACATAAAACCTTGCTTTCATCATTCGTTTCCAGCTTTGGCCGCTCCATTTCTTCCCCTTTTTGAATGTTTTATAATATTCTCACCTTCCCCGCCCACCTTTTTCCTCACAAAACAACCTGTAGTTCTTCTCCTTCTCTTCAATTCCTCTTGCTTTTCTAAGATTCCTGAATTTCTCTCTATTCTGCGATTTATCGCAACAGATAAGGAGTTCTGAATTCGATTTATTACCTGTAAGTTGCAACAATGGATGATGATAAACAGCACCAGTCACAGCCGATGTCCTCGCCGTCGCCGCCTGGAGAAGAGTCAGCGAAGAGACAAGAAGGAGTCAATTCAGAAACTAAATCAAAATCTGCAGTTCGGTGCAAGAACACCTTCTTTGGCAGACATAGAATCTCAGCGGCCATAACCAGACTCCAAAACGAAATCAATATCATCGAGGTGATCGCTATTTCGTTTACGATTCACAGATTTACCTTAATCGAACAATAAAATCCGTATCTCCAGCCACGATTATTTTCCCTCTGAGATTAGATACGATGATTTACCGTAATAATGCAGGAAGAACTGCGACAGCTTGAGAGCATAGGCGAATCCTCCACCGTTTGCGAAGAGTAAGCAAATAAATCAATTCCTTAGGGTTTCGAAAAATTCCTAATCCTTTAGAATCATCGTCTCCACTAATTTCTTCTCCTGTTTACGCACAGCCTCGTCTCCAGCGTCGTAGCGATTCCAGATCCTCTGCTTCCAGAGTAAGATTAAATCACCGTCAACACTAATTATCGATCTTCAAATAAAACGACAATTTCTTCTCCTAATCAACAACGAATGATTCATCGTATACAGAACAATCGGTCCAACGGACGTCAACTGGGACCAGTGGTTCCGAGGAGCTCACGGCGGTCGCAACCACAGACGGTGGATCTGATTCCGAACACAGAGAGAGATCCATTTTTGGGATCGCCGTTGATTTACAGGGGTTTGAGATCAACTAGTCCTGATCGATTGCAGCCATAACCAGAATGTGGAGAAGAAGAAGAGAAGAGAAGACTTGGAAATTGAAACGACGACGTCGCAATCGCACCGTGTGTAAAAGTTTTCGGGTACATTTAGTTTTTTTTTTTTTTTTTTTTTTTTTTTTTTTTTTTTTTTTTTTTTTTTTTTTTTTTTTTTTT